CTGCGGGTGATAATAACGTACTAATCACCCAAATCAGAGAAACACAATCACTGTAAGACAACCTATTAAAAGGAAGATTTTCCAAGAGGTTTATGGATGCAAAAGTATGGACATCTGATTAGTCTCAGTCCGTCTGTCTTCTAGTGGAACTATATTACCTACTTCTCTCTCTAACACGTCTGCTTCAGGGTGTTCAACACCTTCTTTACCCTCTTTGTAGTCAACACCTCAGGTGGAAGAGAATCCAGGACTTTTTTTACCCTTGACACATGGATCCAGGCCTGAGAATCCACAGTCAGAACTGCTGTACGGGTCACGGCTGTTATCACTGTGGGCTCCCCATAAGGTGGGTCCAGGACCTTGTACTTATGTAGGGCTTTACCAACCACATGGTCTCCAGGCTTGAAAGGATGTGTTGGTTCCTGTGAGGGAAGCAGAAAAGAAAGAGAAACATCACCGTAGATGCCATTCAAAAGCCTTATATGATTCATCACATATGTTTTCTTGGATCAGCTCTAATTCTCCAGGCATCATCACCAGCAGACCTTTGGTCCATGGGGTAGGAAATGGTCTGTCTATTAAAATTTCAGAAGGTGACAATTTAGTTGTTTTGTTTGGTGTCATCCTGATTTCAGCCAACACTGCGGGCAGATAAATCTCCCACTTAACAAATGTACCTCCAGTAGCTTTCCTCAACTTCTCCTTAATCATCCTGTTCATCCTCTCTACCATTCCTGAACTCTGTGGGTGATAAGGGATGTAAAATTTCCACTGAATAACCATTTATTTGGCTACTTGTTGAGTCACTTTGGATGTGAATGATGGGCCCTTGTCTGAATCAATCACCAGAGGGCATCTCCATCTTGAGATAATTTCCTTGCACAACATTTTGGCCACAGTGGAGGCATCCTCTTTGTTAGTGATAAAAACCTCCGGCCATTTGGAAAATGTATCCACTATAACCAGCAGATACTTACCTCTCTTGTTAGGCATGTGTGTAAAATCAGTCTGTAATTCCTCAAAAGGACCCTGTGGTGGAGGAAGATGGTCATGTTGGCCATACTGTTGTCCTGTATTATTGTTCCTCAAACAAATAACACACCTAACTGATCTTGCACCCGTTGTGACAAATTCTGAATACAAAATGTTTTTTCATTTCCTGCAAAGTCCTCTGCCATCCTCTGTGCCCTATGCCATGAAACTGTGCTATAAGCACCGGTGCACTGTGCTGAGGTATGCCTATGATCCCCTCTTTGGACATCAGACCGTTCTGGTCCAATGTCAAACCTTTGTCTTTCCAATATTGAATATCCTCTTTAGTGCCTGTGTACTGTAATTCTGTGAGTAACTGTTGTTCCGGGAGCATGGGCGGCTCTAACATAGTCAAAACAAGGCTGGCAGACTCCTGTGAAGACTGCAAAGCAGCTTCCTTGGCCGTACAGTCAGCCAATGCATTACCCAGAGCTATGGGGTCATGTGAAGATGTGTGGGCTTTACTTGTGATACCAGCAATAGTACGGGGTTTGTGTATGGCTTCCAAAAGATCATTCACTAAAGATGCATGAGATCCCCTGCCAAATCTTGCCAAAATCCTGCACTACACCAAATGTGTACTTGGAATCTGTGTAAATGTTAACATCTTTCCTTCAAATAATTCACAGACACAGAATTGTTACTGAGGGACAAAGAATTGTTACTGAGGGACACAGAATTGTTACTGAGGGGACACAGAATTTTTACTCAGGGACACAGAATTGTTACTCAGGGACACAGAAATTGTTTACTCAGGGACAGACACAGAATTGTTACTGAGGGACACAGAATTGTTACTGAGGGACACACAATTGTTACTCAGGGACACAGAATTTGTTACTCAGGGACACAGAATTGTTACTCAGGGACAGACACAGAATTGTTACTGAGGGACACAGAATTGTTACTCAGGGAGACAGACACAGAATTGTTACTGAGGGACAGACACAGAATTGTTACTGAGGGACACAGCATTGTTACTGAGGGACACAGAATTGTTACTGAGGGACACAGAATTGTTACTGAGGGACACAGAATTGTTACTCAGGGACAGACACAGAAATTGTTACTGAGGGACACAGAATTGTTACTGAGGGACAAAGAATTGTTACTGAGGGACACAGAATTGTTACTGAGGGACACAGAATTTTTTACTCAGGGACACAGAATTGTTACTCAGGGACACAGAATTGTTACTCAGGGTTTACAGACACAGAATTGTTACTGAGGGACACAGAATTGTTACTGAGGGACACATAATTGTTACTCAGGGACACAGAATTGTTACTCAGGGACACAGAATTGTTTACTCAGGGACAGACACACAGAATTGTTACTGAGGGACACAGAATTGTTACTCAGGGACAGACACAGAATTGTTACTGAGGGACAGACACAGAATTGTTACTGAGGGACACAGCATTGTTACTGAGGGACACAGAATTGTTACTGAGGGACAGACACAGAATTGTTACTGAGGGACACAGAATTGTTACTGAGGGACACAGAATTGTTACTGAGGGACACATAGAATTGTTACTCAGGGACACAGAATTGTTACTCAGGGGACACAGAATTGTTACTCAGGGACAGGACACAGAATTGTTACTGAGGGACACAGAATTGTTACTCAGGGACACAGACACAGAATTGTTACTGAGGGACAGACACAGAATTGTTACTGAGGGACACAGAATTGTTACTGAGGGACACACAGAATTGTTACTGAGGGACACAGACACAGAATTGTTACTCAGGGACAGACACAGAATTGTTACTCAGGGACACAGACACTGAATTGTTACTCAGGGACAGACACAGAATTGTTACTCAGGGACACAGACACAGAATTGTTACTGAGGGGACAGACACAGAATTGTTACTGAGGGACACAGAATTGTTACTGAGGGACACAGAATTGTTACTCAGGGACAGACACAGAATTGTTACTGGGAGGGACACAGAATTGTTACTGAGGGACACAGAATTGTTACTGAGGGACACAGAATTGTTACTCAGGGACACAGAATTGTTACTCAGGGACAGACACAGAATTGTTACTCAGGGACACAGAATTGTTACTGAGGGACACAGAATTGTTACTGAGGGACACAGAATTGTTACTGAGGGGACACAGAATTGTTACTGAGGGACACAGAATTGTTACTGGGACACAGAATTGTTACTGACAGACACAGAATTGTTACTGAGGGACACAGAATTGTTACTCAGGGACACAGAATCGTTGAATTAAAGAGAGTATGTCAGACAACACGCAGAGGAGTGGCAGAGGAGGCAAATGTTTACTCAGGGAGCGAGCAGTTACTCAGTGGCAGCAGAGGAAGGGGTCGAGGCAGCACTAGTCGCAGTTAGGCCAGGCTCCCGGTGTCATCAGCGGTCGTGTCTCCACCGACAACCCTGCCGTCATCGATTGGTTGGCTCGGTCGTCTTCCTCTTCCCAGGTCACCTCTGACACCTACAGCCAACGGTCGGTGGGTACGTCAGACACAACCGTTAGTTGGCATGGCCCGGGAGCAAGCCCACTGAAATCACGTGTCCTCTACCTGCCCCTGTCCTTTGGTGTTCCCTCACCAAGCGAATATCGCATGCTGTGGGCTCAGCCCCACTGTACAGTGAGGAAGAGCTAACAGAGGGCGGTCAGGAACGGGGGGAGACATCCGCCTCTTCAGCAGCCAGGCGAAGAAGTACTGGCGAGGAGAGTGGCTCGGTAGCCGGTCTAGAGACAGGTCTGTCTCCTGACCCACACGCAGCCGAGGGGGCTAGTAGTGAGGCGGAGACACCCTAATTTGATGATGATGAGGCTGATCGCACTTGGCAGCCTCGTCGTCATCAGGCTATTGCTTCCGCATCATCAGGAGAAGAGGGTGCCAGCTTGGCAGCGAGCAAAACAGTCGGTGGGTTGCCCAGGAGGCAGCAGCAGGGTCGCAGCAGTGTCAGTGGAGGCAAACGGCCACGGAGTAGAGCACCAGCTCCACTGCAGCCCTACCACCACGGCCAGTAGGGTGTGGCGGTTACGCACGGAGGAAGTAGCAGTCAGCCCAGGAGTAGTAGCGGTCCCCCACCGCCTACTCGTTGTGGCAATTTTTCGTCAAGCCGCCCAGAGAAGTAAACGTAGCCGTATGTCGACTATGTGGCCAGAAAGTGCGTGGCCAGTGGCCCATGTTGCCACAAAGCCATGTGCCACTTTCAGGTCTCCTCACACTGCTGGTGCTGTCCATTTTGTCATGGGTGCTGGCAGATTACGGGCCTCCCATTGCTGCTGCCAGGCCTGTAATCTGCCATGGGCCCCTGTACCTGCCTCCTCATCCGCTGCTGCTGCCAGGTCCAGAGTGTCTCATGGGTCCCTGTACGGCCTCCCATTGCTGCTGTCTCCATCGCCACACTCTGCCATGTGCCACTTTCAGGTCTCCTCACACTGCTGGTGGGTTCCATTTTGTCATAGGGTGCTGGCAGATTACGGGCCTCCCATTGCTGCTGCCCAGGCCCCTAATCATGGTGCCATGGGCCCCCTGTACCGCCTCCTCATGCTGCTGCCAGGTCCACAGTGTCTCATGGGTCCCTGTACGGCCTCCCATTGCTGCTGTCTCCATCGCCACACTCTGCCATGTGCCACTTTCAGGTCTCCTCACACTGCTGCTGGGTTCCATTTTGTCATAGGGTGCTGGCAGATTACGGGCCTCCCATTGCTGCGGCCAGGCCCCTAATCTGCCATGGGCCCCTGTACCGCCGCCTCCTCATGCTGCTGCCAGGTCCACAGTGTCTCATGGGTCCCTGTACGGCCTCCCATTGCTGCTGTCTCCATCGCCACACTCTGCCATGTGCCACTTTCAGGTCTCCTCACACTGCTGGTGCTGGGTTCCATTTTGTCATAGGGTGCTGGCAGATTACGGGCCTCCCATTGCTGCTGCCAGGCCCCTAATCTGCCATGGGCCCCTGTACCGCCCTCCTCATGCTGCTGCCAGGTCCACAGTGTCTCATGGGTCCCTGTACGGCCTCCCATTGCTGCTGTCTCCATCGCCACACTCTGCCATGTGCCACTTTCAGGTCTCCTCACACTGCTGCTGGGTTCCATTTTGTCATAGGGTGCTGGCAGATTACGGGCCTCCCATTGCTGCTGCCAGGCCCCTAATCTGCCATGGGCCCCTGTACCGCCTCCTCATGCTGCTGCCAGGTCCACAGTGTCTCTCATGGGTCCCTGTACGGCCTCCCATTGCTGCTGTCTCCATCGCCAACTCTGCCATGTGCCACTTTCAGGTCTCCTCACACTGCTGCTGCTGGGTTCCATTTTGTCATAGGGTGCTGGCAGATTACGGGCCTCCCATTGCTGCTGCCAGGCCCCTAATCTGCCATGGGCCCCTGTACCGCCTCCTCATGCTGCTGCTGCTGCCAGGTCCACAGTGTCTCATGGGTCCCTGTACGCCTCCCATTGCTGCTGTCTCCATCGCCACACTCTGCCATGTGCCACTTTCAGGTCTCCTCACACTGCTGCTGGGTTCCATTTTGTCATAGGGTGCTGGCAGATTACGGGCCTCCCATTGCTGCTGCCAGGCCCGTAATCTGCCATGGGCCCCTGTACCGCCTCCTCATGCTGCTGCCAGGTCCACAGTGTCTCATGGGTCCCTGTACGGCCTCCCATTGCTGCTGTCTCCATCGCCACACTCTGCCATGTGCCACTTTCAGGTCTCCTCACACTGCTGGTGGGTTCCATTTTGTCATAGGGTGCTGGCAGATTACGGGCCTCCCATTGCTGCTGCCAGGCCCCTAATCTGCCATGGGCCCCTGTACCGCCTCCTCATGCTGCTGCCAGGTCCAACAGTGCTGGTCATGGTGTCCATGATGTCTCATGGGTTGCCCTGTACGGCCTCCATTGCTGCTGTCTCCATCGCCACACTCTGCCATGTGCCACTTTCAGGTCTCCTCACACTGCTGGTGGGTTCCATTTTGTCATAGGGTGCTGGCAGATTACGGGCCTCCCATTGCTGCTGCCAGGCCCCTAATCTGCCATGGGCCCCCGTACCGACCTCCTCATGCTGCTGCCAGGTCCACAGTGTCATCTGGGTGGGCCCCTGTACCGCCTCCTCATTGCTGCCAGGTCCACAGTGTCTCCATCGCCCTCCCATTGCTGCTGTCTCCATCGCCACACTCTGCCATGTGCCACTTTCAGGTCTCCTCACACTGCTGGTGGTTCCATTTTGTCATAGGGTGCTGGCAGATTACGGGCCTCCCATTGCTGCTGCCAGGCCCCTAATCTGCCATGGGCCCCCGCCTCCTCATGCTGCTGCTGCCAGGTCCAGAGTGTGTCTCATGGGTCCCTGTACGGCCTCCCATTGCTGCTGTCTCCATCGCCACACTCTGCCATGTGCCACTTTCAGGTCTCCTCACACTGCTGCTGGGTTCCATTTTGTCATAGGAGGTGCTGGCAGATTACGGGCCTCCCATTGCTGCTGCCAGGCCCCTAATCTGCCATGGGCCCCTGTACCTACTCCTCATCTGCTCATGCTGCTGCCAGGTCCACAGTGTCTCATGGGTCCCTGTACGGCCTCCCATTGCTGCTGTCTCCATCGCCACACTCTGCCATGTGCCACTTTCAGGTCTCCTCACACTGCTGCTGGGGTTCCATTTTGTCATAGGGTGCTGGCAGATTACGGGCCTCCCATTGCTGCTGCCAGGCCCGTAAATCTGCCATGGGCCCCTGTACCGCCTCCTCATGCTGCTGCCAGGTCCACAGTGTGTCATGGGTCCCTGTACGGCCTCCCCATTGCTGCTGTCTCCATCGCCACACTCTGCCATGTGCCACTTTCAGGTCTCCTCACACTGCTGCTGGGTTCCATTTTGTCATAGGGTGCTGGCAGATTACGGGCCTCCCATTGCTGCTGCCAGGCCCCTAATCTGCCATGGGCCCCTGTACCGCCTCCTCATGCTGCTGCCCAGGTCCACAGTGTCTCATGGGTCCCTGTACGCCTCCCATTGCTGCTGTCTCCATCGCCACACTCTGCCATGTGCCACTTTCAGGTCTCCTCACACTGCTGCTGGGTTTCCATTTTGTCATAGGTTGCTGGCAGATTACGGGCCTCCCATTGCTGCTGCCAGGCCCCTAATCTGCCATGGGCCCCTGTACCGCCTCCTCATGCTGCTGCCCAGGTCCACAGTGTGTCATGGGTCCCTGTACGGCCTCCCATTGCTGCTGTCTCCATCGCCACACTCTGCCCACACTGCCATGTGCCACTTTCAGGTCTCCTCACACTGCTGCTGGGTTCCATTTTTTCATAGGGTGCTGGCAGATTACGGGCCTCCCATTGCTGCTGCCAGGCCCCCTAATCTGCCATGGGCCCCCTGTACCGCCTCCTCATGCTGCTGCCAGGTCCACAGTGTGTCATGGGTCCCTGTACGTACGGCCTCCCATTGCTGCTGTCTCCATCGCCACACTCTGCCATGTGCCACTTTCAGGTCTCCTCACAAAGCTGACTGCTGCTGCCACTTTCAGTTCCATTTTGTCATAGGATGCTGGCAGATTTCCATTTTGTCATAGGGGCTGGCAGATTACGGGCCTCCCATTGCTGCTGCCAGGCCCCTAATCTGCCATGGGCCCCTGTACCGCCTCCTCATGCTGCTGCCAGGTCCAGAGTGTCTCATGGGTCCCTGTACGGCCTCCCATTGCTGCTGTCTCCATCGCCACACTCTGCCATGTGCCACTTTCAGGTCTCCTCACACTGCTGCTGGGTTCCATTTTGTCATAGGGTGCTGGCAGATTACGGGCCTCCCATTGCTGCTGCCAGCCCTAATCTGCCATGGGCCCCTGTACCGCCTCCTCATGCTGCTGCCAGGTCCACAGTGTCTCATGGGTCCCTGTACGGCCTCCCATTGCTGCTGTCTCCATCGCCACACTCTGCCATGTGCCACTTTCAGGTCTCCTCACACTGCTGCTGGGTTCCATTTTGTCATAGGGTGCTGGCAGATTACGGGCCTCCCATTGCTGCTGCCAGGCCCCTAATCTGCCATGGGCCCCCGTACCGCCTCCTCATGCTGCTGCCAGGTCCAGAGTGTGTCATGGGTCCCTGTACGGCCTCCCATTGCTGCTGTCTCCATCGCCACACACACTGCCATGTGCCACTTTCAGGTCTCCTCACACTGCTGCTGGGTTCCATTTTGTCATAGGGTGCTGGCAGATTACGGGCCTCCCATTGCTGCTGCCAGGCCCCTAATCTGCCATGGGCCCCTGTACCGCCTCCTCATGCTGCTGCCAGGTCCACAGTGTCTCATGGGTCCCTGGGTCCCTGTACGGCCTCCCATTGCTGCTGTCTCCATCGCCACACTCTGCCATGTGCCACTTTCAGGTCTCCTCACACTGCTGCTGGGGGTTCCATTTTGTCATAGGGTGCTGGCAGATTACGGGCCTCCCATTGCTGCTGCCAGGCCCGTAATCTGCCATGGGCCCCTGTACCGCCTCCTCATCATGCTGCTGCTGCCAGGTCCAGAGTGTCCTCATGGGTCCCTGTACGGCCTCCCATTGCTGCTGTCTCCATCGCCACACTCTGCCATGTGCCACTTTCAGGTCTCCTCACACTGCTGCTGGTGTGTTCCATTTTGTCATAGGGTGCTGGCAGATTACGGGCCTCCCATTGCTGCGCTGCCAGGCCCCTAATCTGCCATGGGCCCCTGTACCGCCTCCTCATGCTGCTGCCAGGTCCACAGTGTCTCATGGGTCCCTGTACGGCCTCCCCATTGCTGCTGTCTCCATCGCCACACTCTGCCATGTGCCACTTTCAGGTCTCCTCACACTGCTGCTGGGTTCCATTTTGTCATAGGGTGCTGGCAGATTACGGGCCTCCCATTGCTGCTGGCCAGGCCCCTAATCTGCCATGGGCCCCTGTACCGCCTCCTCCTCATGCTGCTGCTGCCAGGCCCGTAATCCACAGGTGTCATGGGTCCCTGTACGGCTGCTGCCAGGTCCATTTGCTCATGTCTCCATCCGCATTCTCTTCCACACTCTGCCATGTGCCACTTTTCAGGTCTCCTCACACTGCTGGTGGGTTCCATTTTGTCATAGGGTGCTGGCAGATTACGGGCCTCCCATTGCTGCTGCCAGGCCCGTAATCTGCCAGGGGCCCCCGTACCGACTCCTCATGCTGTGACGTTGCAACAACAAGTGGAATTCAACCCTACATATGTTAGACCGCCTTTACGAACAGCGAAAGGCCATCACCGATTTCCTGATGTTACAAGCGGATAAAGGTACTCCCCTGTGTAACTTAGATGTCAGCCATTGGCAGCTCATGCGTGACACCTGCCGCTTGCTCAGGCCTTTGAGGAGGCCACGCTATTCGTGAGTCGGCAGGACACTATGGGATGAACGACGTCATTCCTCTGTTGCACGTCCTGGAACAAATGCTGTTAACAATGGCTGGTCAGGGTGCGGTAGACGTGGCGCACAGATCTCAACGCCACATGACCCCTGTGGGGGCAGGACAGGAAGAAGAGGAGGAGGTAGAGGAGGACATTGGTGCTCAGGAATTATTGAGTGAAATGGGTGGTTTTTCCACTCAGCGGACAGGAGTGGAGGAGCAGGAGCATCTGGTAGAGGAGGAGGAGGAGACAGAGGACCCAGACGCACCGTGGCAGTATGCTGTGGAGATGGAGGCAGGGAGTCCCTCAGCATTCCTTGGCACAAATGGCCCATAGCATGCTCGCTTGCTTGCGTAGCGACAGCCGAATAATAACCATCAGACAGAGGGATGACTTTTGGGCTGTCCACCTTGTTGGACCCTCGCTACTCGTTCCAAAATGGGTGGCCTTTTTCACACCTGCTGAGAGGGAGGCCAAAATAACGTACTATAAAAACCACCTATGTAGTCAGTTGGTCTCTGCCTTTTGCTGCGCCAACGTCCATCCTCAGACACTGTGGGCCATGTGCCTCGCGTTCCGCTGCCATCAGCAGGGGAGGGGTGGGGTTCCAGTGGCAGCTCCATAGGGTGCTGCAGCGGCTGCCTCAGTCTGCAGTCGATGATGAGTAGCTTTCTTCACCAGCGCAGTGATCTGAAACTTACTAACCAGCCCAGCTCCCAGCACAGCTCAGGTGGACCTGGAGGGACCTCAGATTCACAACAGGCTTGGGCCTACTTGGACAGCACCCTGCCAACCGAGCTGTAGACAATCCATGGGTCCTCTTGACTCCACTGGGCAACGAAACTTGACCACTTGGCCCCAACTAGCTGAATTTGCCCTTTTGAAAGGCTGCATGCCCGGCCAGTTACGTGGCATCCCGTGTTTAGCTGCGGCAGGAGGTATTGTAATCTGCGGATGGGGACACGACTGTCCACCCAAAGTGTGGAGCTGGAGAGACTCACAGTTTGTGAAAATGTGTCAGGCGGGTCCCTGTACTGGATTTCAAACCACCAGTTGCTGCACAACTCCATCGCCAAATCCGCCATCATGCCCCATGTGCCACTTTCAGGTCTCCTCACACTCACTGCTGGTGGGTTCCATTTTGTCATAGGGTGCTGGCAGATTACGGGCCTCCCATTGCTGCTGCCAGGCCCCTAATCTGCCATGGGCCCCTGTACCCCGCCTCCTCATGCTGCTGCCAGGTCCACAGTGTGTCATGGGTCCCTGTACGGCCTCCCATTGCTGCTGTCTCCATCGCCACACTCTGCCATGTGCCACTTTCAGGTCTCCTCACACTGCTGCTGGGTTCCATTTTGTCATAGGGTGCTGGCA